ACCCATCTGCCCCTCACTGCAACACCCCTCTTGTTAACATTTACCCCACTTGCTCTGTCATTTGCTTTCTCCATATCAGGGTTTCTCAACCTCGGCTCTGTTGACATTTGAGGCCAGATAATTCTTTGTTGTGGGGGGCTGTCCTGTGCATTGTAAGCAGTGCAGCATCCCTAGCCTCCACCCACCAGATGCCAATAGCACCCAGCCTCCCCCAAAATGTATCCAGACCTCGGCAAATGTCCACCGGGGCCAAATCATCCCCAGTTGAGAACCACTGTTCTATATGAATATGATGGATTTTTATTATATTTGTTTTTTGGTTTATTTTATCCATTTGAGAGTAGGTTATATAAATCATGATTCTTTACCCCTAAACACATCAATTTGTATTTCCTAAGTCTAGAGATATTCTCTTAACTGCAATATAATTATCAGTTTTGATAAATTTAACCTTATTATGATACATGTATCTAATCTGCTTCCATATTCCAATTTTGTCAATTGACCCATTATACTATCATTTTATACCATTATCCTTTATACCATTATTTTTTCTTTCTAGTACAAGATCTAGTCTAGGATTGAGAGCTGCATTTAGTTGTCATGTTTCTAGTCTAAAAGAAAGGGTCTTTCCTTCTTTAATAAATAGTGTTAGGGGCCAGGTGCAGTGGCTCACGCCTGTAATCCCAGCACTTTGGGAGGCTGAGGTGGGAAGATTGTTTGAGGTGAGGAGTTTGAGACCAGCCTTGGTAACATAGCAAGACCCTGTCTCTACAAAAAATAAAAAAATTAGCTAGGCATGGTGGTGTGTACCTGTAGTTCTAGCTACTTGGGAGGCTGAGCCAGGAGGATCACTTGAGTTTGGGAGTTGGAGGTTGCAGTGAGCTGTGATTATGTCACTCTACTCCAGTCTGGGTGACACAGTGAGACCCCGTCTGAAATAAATAACTAAATACATACATACATAGTTAGTGTTGGGAAAACTGGTAAGCAAATTTCAGGAACATCAATTTAAACTCTAATCACAGTACCCATCAAAATATGATCTAAGTGAATTAAGCATTATATACAGGGTGGCCATCAAGTGTGGAAACAGAGACAAATACAACCTTAAATGGTTGATACTATGTTCAGAGCAAGATTTGTATGATGTTATGTGGTACGCTCAAGTATGTTGTCCCTCATCGACAATGCAGAGTTCAGTTGCTGTGTGAAGCTGCAGCAAACCCAATGCATTAACCAGCATCTCCCTCCATACCTGCCCAAGCTGTGGTACCTAGCCACAGATGGTTTGTGTCTCTGGTTTTCACTGAACAAACCTTCGTCTCTAGCACAACCCAGAGTAAATAGAGATTCATTCTGCAAAAAAGGAAGGAAAAAAAGTTTAGCTATCTTTCCAGAGTTTATAGCCCATGTATAAGAAAAATCTTTTTTTTTAATAACTTGAAAAAAATATAATCTTTTTCATGTTTTAGAAAGATGAGAC